TCAAACTTTTTTTGACCAAGAGTATATTATGCTTGATGCTGATCTTCGTTATGATATTGCAAGATACTGTAGAAAAACATTTTCTACGACATATAAAATAGAATTTCGGTTATTATTACATTATTGGTATATATTATATATTGAGGATACATGTAAGTGAGAGCCTGATTTTTCTGATGAGGTAGAGGAGACGCATTAGACTAGAATTGATAATAACTGTATATAGTGTGATTTGCTATAGTAACCAATATAGGTTTAGCCAATAATCGAGTCCTGCATGTCGTCACCATCATAAATAATATCATAATTACCGCAACCACTATTACCAGCCTCGTCGTCATCATCATCAGCATAGTCACCATTAACATAATAAGAGGACGACCAACAACATTATGGACAATGGACTTAAGGAATGGACTGGACAAGGACTGGCGATAGCATCATCGTCTGCTGGTGATCGAGAGTGTTGCGTAATTTGCGTTATCGGACTAAAGAGAGAGAGGCATTATCATCACCATCATCATCACCACCACCACCACTTATTGAAGTCTTTGTGTCAAATTTTTTATATTTTGCCAATTATGTATTTAAATGACATTTTTAAACTTATTATGAAAATTATTATTGTAAATTAGTATTGAAGATATTTAATTAAAGCAAAGCAACAAGGAGCCATATTTTCAATTTTTTTTATTTCTTTCCAAGTATGTAAATATATCTAACATTACATTTCGAAAATTATTATTGTAAGATATACTATAATAATTTAATTAGTATTAACGATGTTAAAGTTAAACAATGCTTTATTCCAATATTGTTAATAGCTTTGGGAATCTACCTTGTGTCCTTTATGTATGTTTACACATAGCCATACCATATTCTATGCTTTCCTACATATAATTCTTTGGGTATGCTCTTATAGGCCTACAAGTAACCATTTGGCCTATCTGTAGTTTATTTATCTGTAGTTCCAGGTTCATTTTGTTGGTTCATTCCTCATTACAAGTGCACGAATCAGCTCACTTGTTTCCCTTTTACTGTTTCCATGCTAGGTAGAAGTCAAGTCAATCAATCAATCAATCAATCTGAAAATTTAAAAAATTATAACATATCAATGAAGATCACTTTATTAGGTTTAAAAGGCACGCGATTTACACCGTTCAAATGATACAATGCTATAAATATTTTTTGTGGTAAAACAATATTGTTTTATTTTTGTCTCATTTTGAAATAAATAACATATCTTAAAAGTTTAAGCAGCATATTATCTTGGAATTGATTTTTATTTTGTTTTCTTAATTAATTTTACAATGCGAGTGTTATGTCTATGAGTATTATTAATGAGAGGGTGATTTGAAGTTGGGATCCTTTTGGAATAATTATGCAAGGCTAATTTACAGTAGGCTAATAATATAAATCAATAATAGCAGTGCTCGAATAAGCAACAATGATGTAAAGATCGTATGAGGCATAGCATATCATTGGGTGCGTGCCCATCATGCAGATGGGCTTTGGGGCGGTTGGCACCCAAACACTTTCTGGTGTACTTAATCACAATGTAAAGTATTCACATTTTATTCCACTATGGATTAAGCAAAGTTTTCAATACAATACAATTATGTATAATATTTCTATCGTAGTATTTTAATGTTCATGTTTGCTTAAATGAACGTTAATGCATCATTTGGATGCATATGTATTACGTGTATGCTATTTGGTTTACAATAAGCCCTTATGTTAGATAAGCCTTTAGAGGCAGCACAGTACATTATTTGACTATCTGTGAGCGGCTGCCCCTACCTCTGTTTTACTACTGTACGTTGAAAATTTGTCACCATATTATCACCATATACATGAGTGTTTGATAACTACTCATATTTTGCGTAGCGTGGGCTTGCGTGTCTGTCGTGTGATGCGAAGTTCCTTATTAATTGTCAAAAAAGCGCCCCTGGCTGTAGCTGCTGAATTCGCTATCTCTGGCTCTCAAGGCGAGTGTCATACCACTTGACCACAGTGGCCGTTGGTATATCGCACATTATTTAATATGCTAAGAAAGTCCAAGAAATTCAATTAAACTTTTGGGTTTAGCTAAAATGGTATCTTTATACGTACAGTTAAATAAATAAGGTACTTAGCTAATCGTTGCAATGCTATAATATTTGAAATATTGATTATCATGTCTCGGTATTTCATAGCAAAAACGCAAGTACTTACATTACGCTATCCCTTTTACTCTAAGAATCAAGTTGATAGTTGTTTTATAATGTCACTAATCCGCAGAACTTCATTGTGTGGTCATCTTCGAGAGTTGTACCATGGAATGTTAATGGCGATACATTCACCTTATATTTTCATGTATTTTACGTGTAAGTTCCGATACTGTCGTTTCTGGATAAACATCAAACTTTTTACTCCCTATATTTGGAAGTACCACACTTACTTGAAAACTGAAGGTGTACTGCAAGTGCTATTACGATGTGAGTTAGCGTTAGGAAAACAATATTATCATATAGTATAATATACTGTAATGTAATGTAATGTAATAATAATAATAATAATAATAATAATAATAATAATAATAATGTTAATGATAATAATAATAATATTAATAATGCACATGTGTGTATTTAACTGCACTGTACGTGGTTACGTGGTACAATAATAATAATAATATTAATAATAATAATAATAATAATAATAATAATAATAATAATAATAATAATAATAAAACATACACAAATTTATAGTAAAGGAAGGAGGAAGTCCTACCCCTCTACATGTGTAGCAGAATGACAAGGAATATAATAATCTGCACTAGGCATACACTGACTAACCGGCTTGATGACGTATGGATGTCTAAAGTACATCGTAAAGCTTTGTTTACACTATCAAATTTCATCAAAAAAAGCGTCACATAGAATGTGATGGAACATAGAGTTGAACGCGTTCAACCTTTTTTGATACAATTTTATGATAAAATGGATATGACACCATCGTATCCATATATGGGCACATCACATTTTTTGTCACATAAAATTTGATAGTGTAGACAAACTAAATTAGTTTGTATTAATTAAAAATTGCCCTTTAACACAACACACGAAGGTCCATCACCTTTAGCCTGCCAGCCAGTTCATGGTGTCACTATCCAGTACCGTACTGTAAGTAGACCATTTCTCCTCTGGGATTATGCAGAAATGATACTTTAAGGTAATTTAGGCATATCATCCAGGAAACATCCAGAATTTGAGTTTCTGCTTTTAAGTTTGCTTCTACAATCAATAAGCAATTCGTTGATACACGGAGATGTGCGATACTAATGAACTTTACTTTTGAAGTTTCGAAATTGCATTGACCATGTGTTCGGTATTAAACTTTTAAATGCTGCTCTGTATTCTTTTTGATTATTATTATTAATATACTGCGAGATACAACAAATAATATGAATATTCTTCAGGTCAGAATTAAGAAAAACTGTACAATGACGACGTGTGCTCACTATCATCATTATCATCATCATCATCATTATCATTATCATCATCATCGTCATCATCAACATTACCACCATTACCACTTATTGTTGACGTTTTTCTGCAACAACTGTGTTTAATATTGTTAATGAAAACAAATATGTTAATTTTAATAATATATTATTGTAGTATCACCATTTTCCTCATTATAATTAACATCACAAACACAAATTAGTATTAAAGATGTTAAAGTCAAATAATGGTTTATTTCTATAATGGACATACAATGTCAACAACTTATATTTTAATTATTACCGTATTGGATCGTCAGATATTTGAATTTGTGTAACAACCGTTTTGCCTTCTATATATGGTTACTTATAACTAAAAAATATTCTATGCTTTCCTATATTTAGTAATTTGAATTTGTTTTCCTAAATATAATAATATAATAATAAACCATCTCCTAGTTACAACTACTGATGTCATGTCAAAGATCAAGGTTGAATTTATCTCCAGGACCACAATGCAAAATATGAAGATCTTATTTTTCATTCCTAATTAAATATATTTTTTTCTCTTTTGTGGGGTCTTCTTACCTTTATTTCACCATTTTCCCCCCTAATTTTCAAATTTTTACCATCAATATTAAACATTGTTATTCACTTAGCTCGGACTGCGGTGATATTAATACCAATTACACAACTAAGTCATGCATACACTACGGTACGACCTTAGCATAAGTAAGACGTCAATCAGTATATTGAGCTTACAATCTAAAGTATTCAAACTAAACTTTACTACATTGCTGTATACATACTTTTAAATATGTATATATATTGTTTTTCTTGTGTGGTTACCAAACCTTATTCCATTGTTTCTTTTCATATTTAAAAAAAAATATTTATGATAATATAAGTCTTAATTAATTTAACATACTTTACAATTTAATCCCAATTATTCAAAATTATTACAAAATTCTTAAATATAATCCATGCATTTTTACAAACTGGCTTACCTATCTCTGTTAGAATTTTAATTTTGTATACTGCGGTAATATTAATACCAATTACACAACTGCAATTGAATATATTATTATCGGACTGCTGTAATATTAATACCAATTACACAACTAAGTCATGCATACACTACGGTACGACCTTAGCATAAGTAAGACGTCAACCAGTATATTGAGCTTACAATCTAAAATGTTCAAACTAAACTTTACTACATTGCTGTATACATACTTTTAAATATGTATATATATTTTTTTTCTTGTGTGGTTACCAAACCTTATTCCATTGTTTCTTTCCATATTTTTAAAAAATATTTATGATAATATAACTCTTAATTAATTTAACATACTTTCAAATACTTTACAATTTAATTCCAATTATTCAAAATTAGTACAATGATAATAATACTAGATAACAAAATAAAACTCATTCAAGTATAACATTCCAATCATAATTATTTTCTTTTACAAAATTCTTAAATATAATCCATGCATTTTTACAAACTGGCTTACCTATCTCTGTTAGAATTTTAATTTTGTATATAGCAAATACTGCAATGGAATATATTTCATTTTTAATTCCGCTATCATAGCCTATTAATAATTCTTTAAAAAAAAATGATTATTGTCAAGTTTCTTAAATAGATTGTCTATCTTTTCCCATAATATCCTATTTTTTAGACATTCAAAAAACATGTGCTTTTAATCTTCGACTGCTCCACACGTATCGCATGTGTCAGTGTGTTTTAACTTCCATTTATACAATTGCCTATTTGTTGGGGAGATTTTGTTTAACAATTTATAATTTAGTTCTGCATATTTTCTATTTTTTCTTCCTTTATTTTTCTCATCCAGACCTTAGACCAGTTTATTTTTTCTCCAATAAATAGATCCCATTTACTTTCAACATAGGGTGGGATAAACATTTTATCAACAAAACAAGAATAAATGCATTTTGTTTTCATTTTTCCTATACTATCATATTCATCAGTCATCACGAAATCGTCATTGCCATTACCATTGTAATGTCATATGACGTACAACCACTCTTTTGGAATACTTGTATTAACAAGGCGTATTCACTAAGCCAGTTTCTTTTATCAACGAACTTCATTAATCAATTTTTTATAACAATATTCTTGATTCGTTTAAAATTCGAATCTAATTAATTATATTAATAAATAAATGTATATTTATATAAAATTTTAAATATTTCTCCTGAAAAATGCATCTTCGTTAAAATAGTTAAGTTATGCTTAAAAAAACCCAACACTACTGAACACTGAAAACTTAATAAGGTCTTTCCTTAGTGTATGGTGACCAATAATCACCATATTTACTGTGCCTTTCCTTAGTATTTTAGTTTTTTTTTACAAAAGAGATGTATTATTATGTATGTAATTCCTGTTTCTGTTAGATGATTCAATCCACATGTGCATGTTCACTGGTTTCAACGTCCAGTCGAGGTCATAGACGAACTTGCAGATAAATCTGTGAAGAGGAACATAGCACTTTAAATGTTTTAGTTTGCTTAACAGACGCTTAAATTATATTCTTCATATAGTTATTACACATACCATTAAATAACACTATACAAATTCTACGTGTACAGTATAATAGTTTATATTTACTTTATTTCAGATTCAAACAAATAATTATGACTAAAGGCATGTATACTATAAAACACTGTATTTATTTTAGAAAGATATAGGCCTATATAATTTGATAGGATTATATCTAGTTATTTTCAAATATTATGTATTAATTTTTATATTTATGGCAATATTTGTGGGTACGATTCAGCAGGAAATACAAATACAAATAAGAATTAAATTCAACAATTTCTTGAAGATATCATCTCAATGATTGGTATTTGGAGCGTTTAATACCTTTAATAATCCAACATTGATTATTAAATTATACACTGATCTTTGATCGAGTATTGAGTACCTGTTTGATACCCATATCAGTGTGGTCGCATTTAAAAATAGAAAAGATCCAACGGGACATGTCATATGATTTATTTTGCTTTTCTTTTCAATATATTACTTATGAGCAGCGACTGCACATACTAACATTGGTTTCTCTAGTTTATTCGGTTTTAATATACAGTTTTTAAGTTATTTCCCCACTTTCATCTGCGAGCTTAAAAACATGTTTCTCAACAACTATAAAATATTTCTTTCCCACTTAAAGTAACACTTACAGGCAAACGAATGATAAACAGTTTCATATCTTTGAATTTATATTGATTATATTTTTACTTTTCATTGGTCTATTAATACATTTTTGATATACAATATGATATATTAATTATAAGTATAATTCTATCCATTTTAATGTTTATGTTTCTGAATAGAGTTAGAGAGCCACTGGGCATTATTTCATGATACTTTTGGTAATCCTGCCTTGCCAATTTGCTAAACCTGTATTGTTTCGTGTTTGTATTTTATTGAGATAAAATATATGAAATGAAATATTTCATGACATTTTAAGCATATTCAATGGACTTTTTCGGAATTTTATTCAAACAATTTACCAATCAGAAAAGGGTCAGGAATATGCACGTGTCCTACAAACACACTTGTTTTCCCACAAACGCATGTGCATGCATATGTTTTTACACCCATATTTGTTGGGACCTTAGCAACAATATTGAAGGGACGTGGTTTAGCTGAAACGTCCATTCTGTTTTTGGCATAAGAAACTATCGGATGGAGAAACTGTTTTAATTGTTTTCGTTTATACATAGTATTAAAATACAACATTGTATACCTTACCAGCATGCTTTTAAAGTTCCAAAATAATGTTATCAAGTAATAATGTCAACTTCTTGGTAGTAGTCCAAATGGTTTGTCTAATTCTGTTTACCGGTTCAGAGTATACACACAGGATATCTGTCCTTTGAGCTGAAAAGACGGCTTGTCTGCTAAACAAGAAAAAAAGAATATGACTTATATATGCATATCTCACAATATTTTTTATCTAAACTTTCTGATAATGTGATACTTGTGTTTCATCTTAGTTTTCAAAAGCAATAAAATGTATTCATGTTAGTAGAGATTTAAATATGAACAATAAAATACATGAGTATCACGTTAATATATTTGGTGGAATAAAACGTATAGAATAGATTCCTGTGACATTATGTGGGTGATGAGTTAAGCTGTATAAGTCTAACTTTATTTTTTTTAAATTAACGAAATGATACTGTGTAATTTAATTGTAAGCGCTAATATAACAATAACATTAATATAACAAAATATGTAATGATTTGCGTTAATAGTTCAAAGTGCAGTTGTAAGTCAGAAACGCCTCAACCTATGCCGTTAACTTTCAGCTCTAATTTGAGACTTTCCACGCATATAGTTCAATTGGTAGCCAAATTATGTACTTTAAAGTACCTAGTGCATTTTTCGGAAGAGTAGGGTATCACTTTGGGCTTCCTTCAGCCTCTGCCGTTGTGGAGGAATGAACCTAACTCTAGTTGATATAGTACTCTTTGACTACAACCATATGCGAATTAGCAAAATGGCAGTGCAAGGTTCAGGAAAGACTTATAACAAAATACTTACTCGTTCTCTCCGCTCTCATTTGGTGATGGTTCGAAAATATTTTGATCACTCATGGTTAATTCGTATACGACGATAACATTAATATTCCAAGAATTATTATGTTACTATAGACTGATAATGGTCAGCTAATTATTAAGTCGCAAGTCCTTTTGAATCTGCAATGTTTGTTGTTCTATGTTACGTGTCTGTGATAGATACAGCGCAACAATAATTTGACTAACAATAAAAAATCCTTTATGCAACATTATATATCAGTGACGTCAACACGACATTTTAATATTCATAAACTGGAGAAAATACATAAGCACTTCTTTCTTCCAGTTTTAAAACATTCAAAAATCTGTATATGTTAACCAAATAAATAGGGAAAAAGATAGAGTATAATTATAATATATCTCGTTATATAAGACTAGGTTACAGAAAGAGTTTTAATTTGATGGAGTTTTAATAGAAAATAAAATGTGTAATAGTATCAAACAATTTTGCAGTACTTTTTAGATTTGTCAATTTACTATTAACATATAATCTCAAACCTCAATTTTATACTTTCCAAGTATTGGAAATCCCTGATATATTTTTACAAACCTTGAGTCATAGAGCGGCATTACATCGCGCATTAATATGAATCGAGCGATTTTGATTATTAAACAGATGTGATTGTATAATTGTGTACGTAATGTGTAATCCTGATATGAACTAACGAACCCACACTTTTGAGTAAATAGGCATAACCTGTTTGAGTTTAATAGGATCGTATATGGATATCACTAAATATTATGCTTGTACCTTGAGGAAGGATTTAGGTAGCACATTCATTCCATCAGATTTTGAAGTTTCTGCGACAGCCGCACTTCAGACAAAAAATTGTAGATTTTGAGTGCTAAATGCATATAGTAAGCATTCGAGAACTTGTACCAATTGCAAACGTTAAACTTATGTAAACAATTTTGCAGTACTTTTTGGAGGGCAAAATACTTTAAGTTTTAGGGGGGGGGGGTTTGTATAATTCACGGAACATACAAAATTTTAATTTATTTTTTTCAAACTTGCCTCCACAGTCAATAAGCAAGTCTTTTATAATGTGAGATGTGCACAATTAATTAACTTCATATTTAAAACTTCAAACTTTTTTTGACCAAGAGTATATTATGCTTGATGCTGATCTTCGTTATGATATTGCAAGATACTGTAGAAAAACATTTTCTACGACATATAAAATAGAATTTCTGTTATTATTACATTATTGGTATATATTATATATTGAGGATACATGTAAGTGAGAGCCTGATTTCTCTGATGAGGTAGAGGAGACGCATTAGACTAGAATTGATAATAACTGTATATAGTGTGATTTGCTATAGTAACCAATATAGGTTTAGCCAATAATCGAGTCCTGCATGTCGTTACCATCATAAATAATATCATAATTACCGCAACTACTATTACCAGCCTCGTCGTCATCATCATCAGCATAGTCACCATTAACATCATAAGAGGACGACCAACAACATTATGGACAATGGACTTAAGGAATGGACTGGACAAGGACTGGCGATAGCATCATCGTCTGCTGGTGATTGGGAGTGTTGCGCAATTTGCGTTATCGGACTAAAGAAAGAGAGGCATTATCATCAACATCATCACCACCACCACCACCACTTATCGAAGTCTTTGTGTCAATTTTTTTTTTTTTGCCAATTATGTATATGTATTTAAATGACATTTTTAAACTTATTATGAAAATTATTATTGTAAATTAGTATTGAAGATGTTAAATTCAAGCAAAGCCAGAAGGAGCCATATTTTCAATTTCTTTTGTTTCTTTCCAAGTATGTAAATATATCTAACATTACATTTCGAAAATTATTATTGTAAGATTTACAATAATAATTTAATTAGTATTAACGATGTTAAAGTTAAACAATGCTTTATTCCAATATTGTTAACAGCTTTCTGAATCTACCTTATTGTCCTTTATCTATGTTTACACATAGCCATACCATATTCTATGCTTTCCTATATATAATAATTTGGGTATGTTCTTATAGGCCTACAAGTAACCCTTTGGCCTATATCTGTAGTTCCAGGTTCATTTTGTTGGTTCATTCCTGCACGAGTCAGCTCACTTGTTTCCCTTTTACTGTTTCCATGCTAGGTAGAAGTCAAGTCAATCAATCAATCAATCAATCTGAGAATTAACAAATTATAACATATCATTGAAGATCACTTTATTAAGTTTAAAAAATAGTTTTTTTTTATTAATTTAAAAGACACTCGATTTACACCGTTCAAATGATACAATGCTATAAATATTTTTTGTGGTAAAACAGTATTGTTTTATTTTTGTCTCATTTTGAAATAAATAACATATCTTAAAAGTTTAAGCAGCATATTATCTTGGAATTGATTTTTATTTTGTTTTCTTAATTAATTTTACAATGCGAGTGTTATGTCTATGGGTATTATTAATGAGAGGGTGATTTGAAGTTGGGATCCTTTTGGAATAATTATGCAAGGCTAATTTACAGTAGGCTAATAATATAAATCAATAATAGCAGTGCTCGAATAAGCAACAATGATGTAAAGATCGTATGAGGCATAGCATATCATTGGGTGCGTGCCCCCCCTGCAG